GGGGGGGGAGGAAGAAAGAGGGGCGCAATCTTGGATTTCTGAGATATCTCGCGATACTCTTTAAATCATATCCTTTGCAGGTCTCTTGAAACTCTATTCATGCAGTTTCTGATTTATTTCACGCGAGAAACTTCTCGGCCGCGTAAAGTTTCGAGATTCTTGGAATCCCTGAACTCCCAGGAACGTACATCCGGTAAAGCTACAGTAACGCCGTCGCCGGGGAATTTGCCCGGGCCTGAGTAACGCGACGCATCGCGGAAATGCGAACGAATGTACCTGTTCGATCCGCTGAGGGAGCCGTCGTTGGTGAGGCTGGAGGCCGAGCTGCTGGGCGTGAGGGGCTGCAACGGTCGCGGCACGTCGTAGCAATCCAGCGGTGTAATGCCGGAGCCGCCGGAGCAATTTGAGTTGGGCGTGCATGATGTCGGCGGCCTCGGGATATCGTAGCACGACGGTGCCGGGCTCGGGCTGCTCGCCGGCGAGGGGATCACCGGGATCGCGCGTGGCGGTACGTCGTAACACTCGTTCACGTCGGCGCCCCCGTTGTCGATGGAACTCCGCGCGTGATTGCTCGTGTAACGTCCTGCGCAGGTGGTTAATAAAACTTAAAGGAATCTGCGGTAGATTAGCTTCTGAGTGCTTGACTGCGCGAACTAACTTTCCTAAGCAAAGCCAATGCAAAATGTATATCGCCATGTGAGATTTTTATAAGTCATAGATCTAATTTACGAATAAGAATACGGAGTTTATATATTTATTTAGTAACAATAAATTAATAATAATAAAAAATATTTAACGTTTAATTAGAATAATTATCTTATCGATATAAAATCTACAAAGATATCCTTCGTTTAAATGCACGTTTTATATAAAATACTGTATTTTTTTTGCAGTACAGTTTCCATTCTTATAAAATTATTATATATTCTACAAAAGAATAATATCGTTAATTCTGAAGTCAGAATAACAGAAATTAGCTCAATTTTGATAATGTAAAACGGAACAAAATATAATATTACTTAAACTACTAAAAGTTCGTCAATTAAGTTAACTCCAAAGCTTGGAATTTATATCTCATTTTAATTAAAAAGTTAGTGATGATTAACTATTTTAAAAATTATCAATACGGCAGGTGAAGTTAATCAATATCTGAGTTACTGAATAAGCATTAGCAGACGGCTTTATCACGGCCGCCATTCGGTTATAGGCGGAATGTTTAGTTTGTGCATAATACGTACCCGTATTGTGCGAATGCTCATTGTTCGTCGAGTTGAGGGGTGAATCGTGTCTGGAGGGTGGCGCGGGACTTCCCCGACTTGCTGGGAGATCGTATAGGTAGACGTCCCCACACTTTTGCGGCGTTACAACCTGCGTAATCGAAAACAGCAAAGCAATTAATTATATCCAGATTAATTATCAGAGTTTCGCGTTTTGTGTTCCACTGCCTGCGCTCGTTCGCAGTTGCTTCGCAACACGTTTTCCGTGTCGCGATTCGCGTTATTCTATCCGCAACAATTAATCAGTGCAGACTGCAAGTTTAATTTTAATCGAAATAACTCAAAGTCTAAATTATCACATCCATTCAATCATTCTCCAAATTAAATTATTTTATATATACATATACATAAAATCAATATATATTAATATACATATAATCATATATATATATATATATATATATATAAACAGTTATAAATAAACATTGTTAGTATTAATTTATTTATATACGCATATGATAATATACTATATCATGAGACACGGTCGTGTCTCGACGCTAAAGAAGTGTGCGTCGGACCGGACCTATCATATGCACACATATATATATATAATTATGCCAATATATTAATATATACTAATTTTATGTATATATTATATATAGAGTCAATTTAGAGAACGATTAAATATCATATATGTAATATAGTATTATATGTCTATAAATAAATTAAAGGAACTAATAAGGTTTATTATAACTGTTTAATGATTCCATTTAAGTAATACGCAAACGTGCATAAACATATGTATTTTTTTAGAAATATAAATTGCATAGTCTTTGCTGCCATCATGCCACATTAAAATTCATTTTTAATACCACGTGCTTTTTTCGAGCTATCGCCTCAATTATGTATCCACATTTTCGTTTAATTAAACGTCGCCATTCCACATACGCCAAATGCAAATGTTATCGTGGCAGCGTCAACGTTTCGTAGAACTTTTCGACAATGAACTTGGGAAAAAAAAGGACAGATAACACCGGGGGCTGATTCGATAGACGCCACCGGAGCTAAATCCACGTGAACCGCGCTCGTGACGAAACTCGTAACGAAGTTATTTGCGCGAGCGCCAATCAGCTCCGTTACTCTTTCCACTGTGCGCGATGTGACCTCGAGGATCTCGTTTGAGTGCAGCCCGCCGCAGCCGCGGATCAATTCTACGAGATCGCTAATTGAGTTTCCTACGAGGAGCGAGGAGGACTCGAGGGGAAAAAAGGGGAATTTCCATTCCCTATCGACAAAATCGCCAAAGCGCCGTCCTTTCGATGGAAAACACGCCGTAAGGTGTATTCACGATTTATTCTACACAAAGTATCGTACAAAACATTTGACGACAAATAACTCGACAAACGATGTTTTTCGTAATAAAATTATATGATTTTTATTATATCCAAATCTAATCAAAAACATTTTTTTTTATTTTTGGAAGTCAACTTTCAAATTAAAATGTTATTGAAGTAAAATGCATTTGAGAAATAAAATTTTTTTGTCTGCTAACATTTTTGAAACCTATTAGAATAACCCGTTAAAAATAATTAAAGTAGTATATATTTTAATAACTTCGTATCATAAATTAAACCACCGGCTGGACGTAACAGCGACGCAAGCTTGCACATTTCGAGCGTTGAACCGCCGGGAAAATGTAATTCCGCTGATAAAACGTGAAAGCGTGGAAGTCGATGCGACGGGTAAATATGAGAGAAAAGGAGGGGGTGAAACATCCCCCAGGAGAGCGTAATCTCGAAGGCTCATCGGCCGCTGCTTTGCAATAATAGAAGCCCTGCAACTCTTGCGTTACGCTTAAGCGTGCTACGCTTTTGTTATACTACTCTTCTCTTTTTTCTTTACACGCTCGGTGCACGAACAATAGCAGTCGAGAACTTTCCCTCTCGTAGAGAGAGAGAGAGAGAGAGAGAGAGAGGTATTAGAGTGATTGCATTTCCGTAGAGAAGAGAAATTAATAAACATTAGATTATATAGATATTGTATATAAAAAAATTAAAAAACTAAAAAACTGAGATTAAAATATTAAAAAATCCTTTAACATATATAAATTTTATTTTTGAATATATTATTTTTAATAAATATATCTTAATATGTTGTAATGGAAATATCAAATATATAATAGCTCTGCAAAAAAAAAAAGATGAGATAGTTACGTATATTTTTTGTTACTTTTGCCAAAGTTTCATAATCCTAGCCACAGTCTTAAAGTAAGAGTGTAATGTAATATATACAGAAGGAAGTTAGTGATGTATTGCGACGTGAGGGAGAAAGAGAAACGTGGAAGAAACGTCGGACACGCCCTGCGCATAAAACGGAGCAGCCTGGACTACGATATCGTCGTAAAGCTCGCGCGGCCGACAGCAACCTGCAATTCAGCTGACCGACGGCCAATTTTGCGTTACCGAAGTGGAACAAACCGGGGCTTCTACTTACGGTCGAAAGTTTCGCGATCGGCGAAACTTATCGCGTATTCAGGAGGACGAGAGGAGTTGCGCATGCAAGATGCGGCACCCTCGATGCGCTCTGTCCACGGAAACGCCGAAGATACGGCTCGTATCTAGGTCAGTTTCTTATCGGGCAGGCAGCAAGAACCTATCCGCCGAATAACACGATGCCGCAACCACACGAAGCAACCCCTCTCCCACCCCTCCCCTCGTTCTACAAATCATTTCGACCCCATTTGATTCGCCGATCGGGCGCGCTTGCAAGAAACCCGAGATGATTTGTTTCAATACTATCGGAGCGCTTGGCCGCGATAGTGACGGCGAGATTGCATATAAATGTGAATGTGACTACGTAATACTCTAAAAACGATACGCTGATTAATTCTTATTGTATGTCATGAATATCGCGCGTTATATGTAAAAGAAGTTATTTTCCTCTCACTGATTATGCGAAAGATTATGCTGTGACTTTATCTTCGTTTAAAATCAGACTTTACGAGAATAGTTATGACATACGTTTGGCATACAAGATCTTTTTGTATTTCCTTCAAACAAGTAGACGTCGTTTAAAATAGTTAATTTCTGATTAATTAAATTACTCAAGGCCTCCACTTTGAAAATTTTGGAATTATTCCAAAGTTGGACGACATTCCATATATAAATGCTTTTTCACCAAGTACGAGAAAATGGATAAGATTAAGGAAACGGAGCTGAGCTTTACTTCAAAATTTCAGAGCAGAGGAGACAATCCAATAGAAACCCTTCTCTCTCTCTCTCTCTCTCTCTCTCTCTCTCTCTTTCTCTCTCTCTTTCGAAAGAACAGCTCTCTGCACTAATTGCCCGCTCTGCGCGAGCTCGAGTTCCTTCTTGCGAGTGCACACTCGTCGTGAGAAGGTGGCCGTTACTCGGAACCAGGAAACGTGCTAATTATGCCATAACTCACTCTTGATTATAGCTCACCTCCTATGCGACAAAGTTGAGATTACCCGTCACGATTTCCGAGCGTTCTCAAACGAAGATAAAGACTACAATGATCAATCGTTTAAAATGGGACGTTGATAAAGTTAAAAGTTAAAATTAACATAAACAAATTAGTTTATTCTTTTAGATATCCAATCAAAACGTCTTAAATATTTAATGAATTGTTCCCACATATCTGCACTGAGAAAAAAAATTGATTGTACAAACTAAATTTGTATAGTTGTTGGATCCAATGGTTGATTCAACAATTCTTTATAAAGTTCATTCATGTCAAAATTTTTTAATCAAGAATTAACTAAACCAACTCAATTAAATTATTTGGTTCGAAATACCAGTGGTATTTATTTATGTTTGCATGCTATTTAGTTATCCAAGTAATATATTTGTTAAAATTCCAAGTATCAAACTGACTAAACGATGCTGATGGGGATAATAAATAGTGTGTATTTTTAATCGAATGGTTGAGTTAAATACGATAAATTTTTGTTGAAACAAAATAGTTTAGTTAAAAAATAGGATTTTGTTTATAATAGTAACAAATTATTTTGTGTTATCGTAGTAACGTTTAGTTGAACGTATCGGACAAAATATTTTGGTAAGATAAAACAAATTTTTTTTCTCAGTGTGTAGCTATTTATAGTTGTAAATCTATAGAGAGAACTCATAAAGAATTCAAGGCATTCTATTAAAACTAAGATATAGATCTGGAAAGAATAAAATTTGTATTGTGTATGTATCCTGAAATGTTTTCGGGGAAGAACTGAATCAACCGGTCGTTGATGCAATAATTAGCAATGATTTATGCTCTTGTCCCAAATCGTATGTAATAATTATAATATCGTATATGTAATAATTTTTTCTTTGTATAATATTTCTCGCATAAGATCTCACAATTAGATATGTTCGAATCCTAATGAGACTACACATCAAAAATATAAATAAGTAAAAATTGAAAAGATACAATTTCTTGCCACAAGATGTTATGACATCTCAATTGTTATGACAATGTACAGTAGTAAAGATAAAACACAAGTACGAAAATATAAAGAACTTTTATATTCATACCATATAAAAAGGAACTTTTTTGAATTAATGCGTAACTTGATAAAAGCTAAAAGCTAAAAGCTATGGAAAGAATACTTAAGAATGAGTACAAAGTTAAGAACGAGTTCTTAAGTTTATACCTCCAGTTTATCTCTTATAATACTCTGCACTTAAATTACATATAGAGATCGCAGCTGTACACGTCTCCGTACACGTGACCAATAGCGGGGAGTTCAAAATTCTCCCATGTGAAATGAAGAATAAAACGAGAGAGTGCGTCGTCGGAAGAGTGGAGAGGCCGTCGAACCGCCGCACGTATGCTCGGTCGTGAATTAAAGCTGCTCGCGAGTACGCTATCGCGTGTTCTTTGTTATTATGAATCGAATAGTACTATCGTAGTGGCGCGTAGTAGCAGAGGAGGTCGGGGAGGGGGGGAGCGCAGGCGCGGGGGAGGATGCTGGAAGGTTGAGAGCGCTCGTGTGCAACGCAAGGGTGCATTGGAACCAGCGGGAGATGGGGGTGGCGGTGGAGAACAGTTCGGAGAGAGAGAAGGGGTATACCACCCTCGGTCGATACCGGGCGTCGCGGCGCTAACTGTGAAAGGCGTATTACGCTACGGGGG